ATAAGGTGGGGGTCTTTTTGCTGAATCCGTATGTGAGAAAGGTGTACTGACTTCTGTCATTAGTTTTTCTGTCACCTTCACTGCTTTTACAATTTTCTCTATACCTTTGTTTCTTTTATCGCTGGTATCTTTTATCAGTTTTTGTCCTTCATTTTCAAACAGCTTAAGAACACCCAGCTCTCTTTGTCTCTTTTCTTTACATTGTTCCCTTTTTTTCCCCTTTCTTTTGATCTGCTTTATGAATTGACAGAAGCACTTTCATTATGTTGATGACGTCAGGGTTAAGAGTCCCTTCCACTGGCCATGGTTGTTCAATGTCAGGCCAACGTTTATTCCCTTTTCCAGATAACCTTGCAATACCATTAACTAGAGGATTACTATTTTCAACTATATCAACAGGTGTAATTACTTTCATAGTCTTGATGTCCTTTTTCCCCATTGTAACAACTCTTTTATATTCCTTTATTGTGAATTATTTATTTTTTTAGACTATATAGCTTATAGTTTCCTCCCTTTAATTATTAATAAAAACTAAAAATATATATATATATATTTTTTAAACAATTAATCAATCAATTTATGTATAATTAAAATATGTATTTATTTATTTATTTATTTTTTTACCAATTTATTACTTAGTGGCAATCTTACCACATCCAATCAGGAAAAGTAAATGAAAGTAGTCAACTTCAGAGCAATCCAAAAAAGAAAGACCTACAATCCAGCAATACTACAGTACTCACAAACCAATTGCTTAATAAGCACCCAATTACCTTAATTTACAGAATAATGTCAGTACATTAACTCTAATCAAACCAACTTATTCACAAAAACTCCAATATGCAATTACATCAATTGATCAGTCTGTTGCCAAGTCCCTGTCAAATTGTCATAACATCAAATATGCTAGGCAACCAAAATATCCTGTATGGGAAGGTAAGTTTTGTAAATAGAACAGTACTGGCCTTAGTTTGACTGGATCCGTTGCAGCAGACTCTGTCGCAGCACACCCTGTCGCTTGATGTACACGTCAGCAATTCATCTCTCTCTCTCTCTCCTCCTCCCTCTTATCGTCTCTCATATCACAAAAGAACAAAGAAACAGACAAGAATTTAGTAGTTTATGCACTCACTGAGTTATTTCAACCATTCAATACTCCTCCGTTCACATTCGCTCTAAGAAATAAGCAAACTTAACTCAGGAATATTTATAGATAGCTCAATAACATTTTATTTTATTTATTTTATTATTTTAATTTTTTATCCGTCAACATATCTCTCATCTATCAATTCAATAGGTCTCAAGAAAACAGTTTCATCGTCAAACAACAGCCGATTTAACAACCAGAATACACTATTAGTCTCTAAATCTTCTCTCTCTTTGTCTGCGTCTCCCCGCAGCTCAGTGGCACATTTGCCCTACGTAACTCTAGAGTCATAAAATCACGCGCATGCGTAGTTCATACACCACTACGATTTCAGAGTGGATGGAGCTCTCTCCCAGCTCTCTCCAAGCTAGACAACAGAAAGTAGACAGTCCCGCTGTACTTCCTCTCTTTTACCCCTCATAGACAAACAATAACTTAACAGAGCTCACAAACCATAGGACACAAATCCTACTCTATTCTACACAAACATACATACAGTTTAAGAGGCTTAATCCATTCCAATGGACCCCTAAGGTAGCATGCAGCATGTAGCATGTAGCATGTATCATGTATCATGTAGCATGTAGCATGTAGCATGTTACCTCCATTGCGCCGTATAATTCCTTTGTTCCTAAATTTAGGCTTTCACGAGGTCCGCGGAAATTCAATGAGCGGTCACATCAATCATATAATTCGTCAACCACATGTTGAGAGGTAACTTATAATAATAATAATATAATATGCCATTTAGCAGACGCTTTTATCCAAAGCGACTTACAGTCATGTGTGCATACATTTTTGTGTATGGGTGGTCCCGGGGATCGAACCCACTACCCTGGCGTTACAAGCGCCGCGCTCTACCAGCTGAGCTACAGAGGACTTGCAACCGAATATATATACCACAGCCTCAAGCCCCCTGGACTTACCTAAATACACCTAACGTGCTGTTAGGATTTTCGGCCCATCCTAATGATCGCCTCCTTAGAGGGCTAACATAGATTCGCAATGGTTCTAATTTGTACACATTTACCTTGGCCTTATTCCTTTCAATCTATTCTTCTTGAATTTTATTCAAGCAAAACATCCCTATAGACACTCCCCCCTTTTTGCGTTGTTTACCAGCGCAAACAAATTTAGAACGGACTCCTATCCCACAGCATATAACCAACAACGCACACACGCAAGTTCTTAACGGTGCATTTATTCAACGCACAGACACACAGACACACGAACTAACCAGAGCCCAAAGTGGTGAGAAAACTCACCCTTATCTGCCGGACTCTGGAGCCAGAGTCAGCTCGGCGCCCATGAATGGAATGCTGAGAAAAAACGCAATTTGTCCAAATCCTCGTCGCCATTTTGTTTTGTCTAGAAAACGTTGCTAATTATGCTGTGAGACCAAGGAAATCCGCTGACGCTGTACTTTGATCATAAAGGTTTATTTATATCAAATGGTTACAGTTTCAATTTACAGATACCTGCCGGCATCTGGAGAACAGCCAACCCAAATTCTAAATATGCTATTCTGACCTCCTTTGTCTCAACCAAGTATTTATCCTATGTAATTTGATATGGGTGTTTCCCCTACAGACCAATCCCAGGAGACTTCCTCTGCTTTAGGGTGCCCCTCTAAAACTGCTCTCCAGATGTCTCCCTGGGCCAAATCAACATTCTCTAAGCTACCATTTGCAAACATTAACAAAGTCATAAATTCCTCAGATACTACAGCCTAACATTGTACAGTGAGATTCTGATTGTTATGTAAGGCCAAGAATCAACCATGAAAATAATTGGAAAGCCAATGACATTGAGTTTTGTAGTAGGTGGCTGTTCATTCCCTTCACTACAGAAACCCTGTTGAATTTCCCATGGTTCTGTGAGTGTGTGAAAGTGTGCACAAAGGTGTGTGTATGTGTGTGTATGTGTGCATGTTTTCGTAAGAGGGTTGTGTGTGTCTGAGCAGTCTGCATGCATGTTTGCTTATGTGTTTGTACTCTTGAATACAGGCACCCACTCTACCTGCAGTTACCACATTATAAAGGTATCTGTGTGCTATTCCTCTGAAATATAGCCAAAGTGGCTCCGTCTGTGTGTGTGTGCAAGGGTGCGTGCGTTACTGCTTGTGTGTTGTTTGTGCATGCGTGATTGTGTGTGTGTGTGCGTGCCTGTGTGTGTGCGTAGGCGGAGATTTAATGGACTAAATGTTCTGTCCACCTGCTGGGATTTGTAGTAAAGGGGCGGTGGCTGACGTAGATCCATCAATCCTATTAGGCAATGTTCAATCATTTGAAAATAAATTGGATGACCTAAGATTTTACTACCAACGGGACATTAAAAACTGTAATATCTTATGTTTCACCGAGTCGTGGCTGAACGACGACATGGATAACATACAGCTGGCGGGATATACGCTACATCGGCAGGATAGAACGGCTGATTCCGGTAAGACAAGGGGTGGCGGTCTGTGTGTATTTGTAAACAACAGCTGGTGCATAAAATCTAATACTAAGGAAGTCTTGAGGTTTTGCTCGCCTGAGGTAGAGTATCTCATGATAAGCTGTAGACCACACTATTTACCAAGAGAGTTTTCATCTATATTTTTCGTAGCTGTCTATTTACCACCACAAACCGATGTTGGCACTAGGATTGCACTCAATGAGCTGTATAAGGCCATAAGTAAACAGGAAAACGCTCATTTAGAGGCAGTGCTCCTAGTGGCCGGGGACTTTAATACAGGGGAAACTTAAATCCGTTCTACCTAATTTCTACCAGCATGTTAAATATGCAACCAGAGGAAAATAATCTCTAGACCACCTTTACTCCACACACAGAGACGCGTACAAAGCTCTCCCTCGCCCTCCATTTGACAATTCTGACCAGAGACGCGTACAAAGCTCTCCCTCGCCCTCCATTTGACAATTCTGACCATAACTCTATCCTCCTGATTCCTGCTTATAAGCAAAAACTAAAGCAGGAAGCACCAGTGACTCGGTTAATAAGGAAGTGGTCAGATGACGCAGATGGTAAGCTACACAACTGTTTTGCTAGCACAGACTGGAACATGTTCCGGGATTCTTCCGATAGCATTGAGGAGTACACCACATCAATCACTGGCTTCATCAATAAGTGTATTGACGATGTCATCCCCACAGTGACCGTACGTACATACCCCAACCAGAAGCCATCACAGGCAACATCCGCACTGAGCTAAAGGGTAGAGCTGCCGCTTTCAAGGAGCGGGACTCTAACCCGGACGCTTATAAGAAATCCCGCTATTCCTCAAAAAGTTATATAGCTGCACCATCGAGAGCATCCTGATTGGTTGCATCACTGTCTGGTATGGCAACTGCTCGGCCTCCGACCGCAAGGCACTACAGAGGGTACTGCATACAGCCCAGTACATCACTGGGGCCAAGCTTCCTGCCATCCAGGACCTCTATACCCGACGGTGTCAGAGGAAGGCCCTAAAATTTGTCAAAGACTCCAGCCACCCTAGTCATAGACTGTTCTCTCTGCTACCGCACGGCAAGTGGTACCGGAGCGCCAAGTCTAGGTCCAAAAGGCTTCTTAACAGCTTCTACCCCCAAGCCATAAGACTCCTGAACAGCTAATCATGGCTACCAGGACTATTTGCATTGGTACCGTACGTTATGTTAAAATTTCCTGTGTTATTGTGTTGCACTAATATATTAATTGTCACTGAGTGATGTGCAGTGATTTCATATTGTCTGGGCATTGTTAGATGGCTCAGGAAAATAGCTTTTTGACACAAGACACTGATCCTGCTTTGGTGAAAACTGATCACCTAAAATTGTCTAAACTGTCTCTGAATCAGTGTATTGTCCTTAACTCTATGTGTCAGCTCATGGGTCTCGCTGTGTACAACAGCATTGGTTTGGACATCCACTTCCCTCCATACTGCTACAAGAAGCTCTTGACTCCACACATCGCAGTGCTAGCTGTGCCACTAGAGATCCTGGTTCGAATCCAGGCTCAGTCATAGCCGGCCGTGACCGGGAGACCCATGGGGCGGCGCACAATTGGCCCAGCGTCGTCCAGGGTAGGGGAGGGAATGGCCGGCAGGGATGTAGCTCAGTTGGTAGAGCATGGCGTTTGCAACGCCAGGGTTGTGGGTTCGATTCCAGTATATAAAATTAAAAAAAATTATGCACTCACTAACTGTAAGTCGCTCTGGATAAGAGCGTCTGCTAAATTGACTAAAATGTAAAAATGTAATGTAACCAGAAAACTCCTGTTGGCATGGCAACCGCCACCCTGGGCGACCTGCATCAGGTTATGCCGGTGCGTCTTCTATGATTGCTTTATCTCAAGCACAGCATTTAGAGTAATAAACGTTCTGAGGATAGGCATCCTCATCAGTATAGGTAAATTTGACTGCAGACCGGCGTGGGTTTTAGGGGGTTAAAGTGAGGATCACAATACCCCAGTTAACCAGCAGGGGGACCAACAGTTCAGCTTTTCTGTCTTTACTCCCAAACGTTTTCCTTTGGACTGGATCCAACCTCTGAAACTCATTTGAATTAATTTAAATTAATCAGTATTTTAAACTTTTCCTCTACTTTTTATTCAGTCTGTCCAATGTGAAACAACTCTCAGGTCTTTTATTCTAAAATGTACACACCCATTGCTGACATGGTGTTTCTTGGTATAAGTTTTGGCACAGTTTTAATTGTTAAACTGTGCCAGATGCTTGCCTCCTCTTTTTTTGGAGGGGGGCTTTGTTCACAGTTACATAAGAGTGGGGGATTGTTCTCTCCCCTGTCTGTCCTAAAAAAAACACACATTATGACACTGTAGCTTCGGTGAAGCAGGGTGGCGGGCCTGGCATACTCTAAGTGCCACAGTAATGCTGCCCTGGCTCCCTTTGGGGCATGACAGGCAGGCACAGCCATGCCACTGTATGACCGATCAGAGATTGTGCCCTCACCTTATGTAATTACTTTGCAGTTGAGCTGATTCAAGGAGATGGTTAAAAATTGTTTGCAGTACAGTCCCATCTGCAAATGCAATTGTCATAGTAATTACATGGTGAATGGTTTGCTGAATACACATTTGTCCAGACACAGATTATTAGTTTTCAAACAGAAGCTTGCTAACATAATGTGCACATTCATGCAGGCACACATAGTAATACATCACCTGTGTACAGTCCATTGACAGTAAGTAATAAAAGTGACATACATTATTTTCCATTTCAGGACCTAGCACATGGGCTTGGAGAGCTGTTCAGCTATGCGGGCAATGTGGAGGAAGACTTCTATCTGACCTTCCAGGTATGGACCATCTCCGCTCCTATTTATTACCTGTGCAAGGGCAACAGTGCACCAGGGGTCCAATTCAGACCCGAGTTAAGCATGTGTTAATGGAACATAATTCCCTTTTTATGCACTTTTCTCGCTATGCATATTCTGACCTTAAACTTAAGCATGAGAATAGCATGCTATTCACCTGCTATTCGGGGTGTAGATCGAATAAATGAAGGTGTGGCAGAGGTGTCTACAGATATGCCGTATTCTGTCCTTGACTTAATTCCCTAATAATTTCATCACCTTTATGCATGAGGAAACCATGAATAAGGTGTAGTGAACATACCGGTTCCAAGTGGAAAAAGCATCTACTTTCAGTTAGAAATAACACCATTCTCCAAGCACTATAATTTACAACTTGATAAGAGCTATTAATAAGAACTAGGTAAATGAGTATTCCATTTGGATAAGGGAATTGTAAATATATGGAGATTTTAAACTAGTTACAGAAAGCTAAGGATGGATCAACAACATTGTAGTTAATCCACAATGCGGACCTAAATGGCATAGTGAAAAGAAGCAAGCCTGTACAGCAGGGTTCTTCAATTCCGGTCCTGGAGGGCCGAAACACCTCTGTTTTTCATCCTCTCCTTCTAATCAGGGGCTAATTCAGACCTGGGACACCAGGTGAGTGCAATTAACTACCAGGTAGAAATAAAAAACAGAAGTGTTTCGGCCCTCCAGGACCGGAATTGAAGAACCCTGCTGTACAGAATAATAATCTTCCGAAACATGCATGTTCCGAAACATGGATCAACAATAACTAAATCAACTGACTATGAATGTGTCATTATTGTGATTTTAGTCTGCCTGGGAGTGTCTTTATTTAAATTTGTATGCCTTGTCAGCATTAGTAAGCTAAGAATGTCAGAGGTCAAAATCAGTCAGCACTCTTATCAATCTATCTTCATTCTATCACCACTTATCATGGGTTATGTTGTCACACCTCTGAAATATTATGAGACTGAGATTAAGATCTTTGTAAATGTGCATTTTGGCCTCTGAGTCAAGGAAACCCAAGGTTTCAGGGTCTTTCACCATTTTACTGGGTGAAGGGTCTTTCACCCTTACTGAGGCAGAGGTATACTCACTGAACCGTATTCAGTTCACACCCACCATCATCCATTACCCCTCTATATGACAGCTCCTATATGCTATATCCTTCACTCACCAGCTGAGTTCAACACCAGAGCAAATACATTATCTATGCCCCTGGTTACTGATTACAGTAGGCTATTTTTAAGCCCACATGTTTACCGTAAGTGAATGTTGACCATAAACTAATATAAGCTTTCACAGGAAATCCACTCTCTTCTTGTAAAGATAATGAGTGTATCATTGTATCTAGATTTTCCAAGAGGAGCTTGGCATTGTCAAGTCCTATAACCTGAAACCTGGAGGTGACAAGATCCCAGTCAACAAACAGAACAGAAAGGGTGAGTAGGCCTATACTGTAGGCTAAAATATGAGGGGTAGACATACAGGGGCCACAGGATGTGCTTTGTTTTTATTCATCCCATCTCTAACACAGCTTATTCAATGAATCAATTAGTCATGGTCATCAATTTAAAACACTCTACAATGAAATCAAGCTTCGGCCCTCCAGGACTACATTTCTGTTTGAAAATCAGAGACGTGCCATTCCCTTAAACCTAATTCCCGTTAGTGTGTCTTTTTCTGTTCCACACGTTATGTCACAATGCTCCTCTTTGTGTTTGAGTATGTGTCTCCTCTATTTGTGGGTGTGAGTGGCTTATTCAATTATTTTCTTTCTCTGCAGAATATGTTCAGCTGTACGCTGATTTCCTACTGAATAAGTCAATTTACAAGCAGTTTGCAGCCTTCTATCATGGCTTCCATAATGTGTGTGCATCACACACTATGATGGTGAGTCAGGACTTCTCTGGGCATTCTGTGGGGGTGGGGTAAAAGTCGGCTCAGCTCCCAGGTTCTTGGAGGTCTTTCATTGTACGATAAGAGTTATTCACGTCACTGTGGTCAGAAAACATCCAGATGAAAATTCTGTTACAGGTGTGTAACCGTAGGGCCTACTCATGCAGTTCTGAGTAAAAGTAGGAGAGAAGCTAATATCAGAGTGTGTGTGTGTGTGTGTGTGTGTGTGTGTGTGTGTGTGTGTGTGTGTGTGTGTGTGTATCTCATATATACAAAACTTCTACCCACCAGCCCCCTCCTGTTCCCAATGGTCCCTCTCCTGGGGTATTTGTCCTAGGGCCTCCTGGGACAAATGTGTTAACATCTAGTTACTGCAGCAAAAATCTAACACAGTTGGCTACTGTTGAATACCGATCTGCCAGAGACAAAGAAAAGCTTATGTTCTCCCCGACCCAGACTTGGCCAGCGGGGTAGCCTCATATTGGGGTGGTGGGGTGACACTCATGGGCTGTTGCACTTTATAGATACTGTATCATGAGCCTGGGTGTAATTATGTGTTTCCAGGCTATATTATAGATGTCTGGACACAGCAGGCACTGTGGTGAGTGGGCCAATATGTGCAAACATTTCTACAAACCTGTTTTTGCTTTGTCATTATGGGGTATTGTGTTTAGATTGATGAGGATTTTTTATTCATTTAATCCATTTTAGATTAAGGCTGTAACATAACAAAAATTTGGAAAAAGTGAAGGGGGTCTGAATACTTTCCGAATGCAGTATAAATATATACTGAGTGGATTCGGCTATTTCATCGAACACACAGCCATGCAATCTCCATAGACAAATATTGGCAGTAGAATGGCCTCACTGAAGGGCTCAGTGACTTTTAACGTGGCACCGTCATAGGATGCCACCTTTCCAACAAGTCACTTCCTCAAATTTCTGCCCTGCTAGAGCTGCCCCGGTCAACTTTAAGTGCTGTTATTGTGAAGTGGAAACATCTAGGCGCAACAGCTCAGCCGCGAAGTGGTAGGCCACACAAGCTCAAAATCGTCTGCCCTCGTTTACAACACTCACTACCGAGTTCCAAGCTGCCTCTGGAAGTAATGTCAGCACAAGAACTGTTCGTTGGGAGCTTCATGAAATGGGTTTCCATGGCCGAGCAGCTGCACACAACCCTAAGATCACCATGCGCAATGCCAAGTGTCGGCTGGAGTGGTGTAAAGCTCGCCGCCATTGAACTCTGGAACAGTGGAAACGCGTTCTCTGGAGTGATGAATCACGCTTCACTATTTGGCAGTCCGACAGACAAATCTGGTTTTGAGAGATGCCAGGAAAATACTAATTGCCCCAATGCATAGTGCCAGCTGTAAAGTTTGGTGGAGGAGGAATAATGGTCTGGGGCTGCTTTTCATGGTTCAGGCCCCTTAGTTCCAGTGAAGGGAAATCTTAATGCTACAGCATACAATGACATTCTAGACGATTCTGTGCTTCCAACTTTGTGCAACAGTTTGGGGAAGCCCTTTCCTGTTTCAACATGACAATGCCCCCGTTCACAAAGCGAGGTCCATACAGAAATGGTTTGTCGAGATCGGTGTGGAAGAACTTGACTGGCTTGCACAGAGCCCTGACCTCAACCCCATCGAACACCTTTGGGATGAATTGGACCGCCGACTGCGAGCCAGGCCTAATCGCCCAACATCAGTGGCTGACCTCACTAATGCTCTTGTGGCTGAATGGAAGCAAGTCCCTGCAGCGATGTTCCAACATGTAGTGGAAAGCCTTCCCATTAGAGTGGAGGCTGTAATAGCAGTAAAGGGGGGGACCAACTCCATATTAATGCCCATGATTATGGAATGAGATGTTCGACGAGCAGGTGTCCACATACTTTTGGTCATTTAGTGTATTTTTGATTTACAATGGCCCTCAAAAAATAAAAATGTCATCCATAGCCTGCACTCAAATAGAGAATTGAGGTTATGTTCAGTTACTTTTTTAATATGCCAGGTAGGCTACGCTGTTTGTAAAGCGGATTAATTTGCTTAATCTTTAAGAATTTAGCAATGCAAATAGCAGCACGAGAGAGCTGGAATCCACTTTTATTAAACAGTGGCCAGTCAAAACTGTTTTCACACGCGATTCCGCAATGACTGGGCTTAAAAGAACATGTTTCACTAGGCTCTGTAGGCCAAGGTTTCCCAAACTCGGTCCTGGGGCCCCCCCTGGGTGCACGTTTTGACAGAGTTTGTGAAACCCTGATGTAGGCCAACCATGTTCCAGGGGTCTTGGGCCTATAGGCTACGTTTGGAGTTATTTGGCCACTTCAGTTGATATACAAACCTTAGCAAAACATATACAGTGAGGGAAAAAAGTATTTGATCCCCTGCTGATTTTGTACGTTTGCCCACTGACAAAGAAATGATCAGTCTATAATTTTAATGGTAGGTTTATTTGAACAGTGAGAAACAGAATAACAACACAAAAATCCAGAAAAACGCATGTCAAAAATGTTATAAATTGAATTGCATTTTAATGAGGGAAATAAGTATTTGACCCCCTCTCAATCAGAAAGATTTCTGGCTCCCAGGTGTCTTTTATACAGGTAACGAGCTGAGATTAGGAGCACACTCTTAAAGGGAGTGCTCCTAATCTCAGATTGTTACCTGTATAAAAGACACCTGTCCACAGAAGCAATCAATCAATCAGATTCCAAACTCTCCACCATGGCCAATACCAAAGAGCTCTCCAAGGATGTCAGGGACAAGATTGTAGACCTACACAAGGCTGGAATGGGCTACAAGACCATCGCCAAGCAGCTTGGTGAGAAGGTGACAACAGTTGGTGCGATTATTCGCAAATGGAAGAAACACAAAATAACTGTCAATCTCCCTCGGCCTAGGGCTCCATGCAAGATCTCACCTCGTGGAGTTGCAATGATCATGAGAACGGTGAGGAATCAGCCCAGAACTACACAGGAGGATCTCAAGGCAGCTGGGACCATAGTCACCAAGAAAACAATTGGTAACACACTACGCTGTGAAGGACTGAAATCCTGCAGCGCCCGCAAGGTCCCCCTGCTCAAGAAAGCACATATACAGGCCTGTCTGAAGTTTGCCAATGAACATCTGAATGATTCAGAGGAGAACTGGGTGAAAGTGTTGTGGTCAGATGAGACCAAAATTGAGCTCTTTGGCATCAACTCAACTCGCTGTGTTTGGAGGAGGAGGAATACTGCCTATGACCCCAAGAACACCATCCCCACCGTCAAACATGGAGGTGGA